TGATGCGACTCCCCTTAACAAGGAGCCTTAACAAGAAATGTGATTGTCAATACCGTTAAGCCCGTATCAGACTATAGATTAGTATTGAGAACACAGAGGGGCTGTACATGTTGGCTTCATTTTTCTAGCCATATGAGGGGTCCATGTATACTACGTCCATGAAATTTATTATTTTAATTAGTCAACCAGAGCAAAATTCACTAAGCTCAAGTTTGGTGAACTTTGCTCTGATTGGCCAATTTTCAATTCAATCTCAATCTTAATCCGTAGTTCGATACGGGCTTAAGAGTGAAAAAAAGAGTTCTTTCGCTGAATGAAGTTGTCTGAAACAGCCTGGGAGCTTATTACGGTTCTGTGTGAGAAATGAAAATGCGAAAAAAGAACGAATTCATTAGATGTTGACCAATGAAATTATAAATATTCTAGTAAATTCGTTCAATTTTCGTTTCTCACACAGGACCGTAATAAGCTCCCTTGAGTCAACTATGACTGCGTTCCGAAATTCACTTCCAGTATTGAAAATCTATAGTTCATGCCACATATACTATAGAATTTCAGTACTGGCAGTGAATTTCGGAACGCAGCCTATGGTGAATTTACAAGGGTGGGACCCGATTGACCACGATACGATTGGACACAGATTGTAATGATTGGTTCGACCTAGTAATTCACTAGATAATTCTTTTCATCGGTTGGTTGGGTCCAATCGTACCGTGGTCAATCGGGACGCTCCCAATTTACAAGATGTAGCGTTGCGCATTATGAAGGTGGGAGTAGAACTAATCAGAAAGTTGTCCAAAAATATTAGGGGCAGCCATTGGTTTTTTCAAATTTTGGGCAACTTTCTGATTAGTAGCTACTGCGCATCCAGCGAAACGCTACACCATGTATATTTCTACCATGGAGTCAACCATATATAACAGAAAATAGTATATGTTGTACTAACCTAAAGCTATATTTCTTTGAACTGAATTTTCCCAAATTGAAGGTTAGGATATATTGTTACATTATAACAAAAAAATTCTTGGGAAAGATCTGGAAAGCTCCGTAAGTATGCGTTTCAAAATATACGTGCTATTAAGAGAATGTTCTGGCTAACCTACATGGTCTTCATATAACCTCACAAAACGCTTCGTTACACAGAATGGATAAAAATAAAATCTATTTAAAATCTTTAAGAAAATAATTTTTAAAATATTTATATGTATATATTTCTATAATATTTAATCAAATAAATAATAAAACGCAATGTGTTAAATAACTATTAATACTCTATTGATTATTCTAGATTGAAAACAATCCAGAGAAAGAAGAAAAATCTATTACACAATCTATATTAACAAATATGAGTGATAAGCAGAAGGTTCTCATCTGCGGGGATGTGGAGGGTAATTTCAATTTTTTATTCTCCAAAGTAGATGCTATCAATAAGAAGAGTGGCCCATTTGACTTCTTATTGTGCGTCGGTAATTTTTTTGGCAAGGACAATACAGAGTTAAAACCTTATATATCTGGCGAGAAAACTATCTCAGTTTCAACATACATTGTGGGACCTAACAGAGAATCGGACTTGAAGCATTATTCTGATGGGGATGGATACGAGATATGCCAAAATCTAACGTATCTTGGCAAACGTGGCCTTTATACTGCTAGTTCAGGCCTCAAAATAGCATATCTCAGTGGAATTGAAAAAATTGCAGATGATAACAAATCTGTAAGCTTCAACGAGCTAGATGTTATATGCATCAAAAATAGTTGTTTAAAAGGCCAACCGAGTTTTCGTGGGGTGGATATCCTGTTAACATCACCATGGCCTGATGGTATCATCAATTTTGACCCGAATAATCCAAAATACAAATATCAAGGTTCAAAATTAATTGCCTGGCTCACTACTCATATCAAACCCAGATATCATGTATCAGCTTTAGAAGGGACATATTATGAACGACCACCATACAGGTAATTTTTTTTTTGTATTTTAGCAAATTTTAAGCACATGCAAAATTAAGATATTCATATTAATTTTATTCTTAATATGCAAATAATTCTGTAGAATGTAGATAATCATTAATTTATTTATTATTTCATAAGTTGAACATTAAGTTTGTATCAATTGAAACAATATTACTGTTGAAAGCACTACAGTACGAAAGTTTTCCATTATTTGCTGTCAAAAATAGATGAAACCCAATAATCTTAAATAGTTTATTCAACGAACATACTCCAATAGATATAATAGAAACATTTTACTTGATCTTACTGATCTGTATAACTATATTCTGTCTGTTAAGGTTCCAATCATGTAATTTTTCCGTAATATAGTGTAATATAGCGATAATAGTGGAATAGTTACATTTACATTGCTCTAAAAATCACATGATCACTAAAGTTGTGAAATTCATGTAAAACTTTTTAAGAGTTCATGCTAGAAGAAAAGATACATAGTCGCGATAATCTGGGGGTCGATTATGCACTAGTACAACTTAATGAAAATCACAACGAATTTATTAGAAGATTTACAATTTTATTGGTCAATACCTAGTGAATTTACGTAATTTTATAATTTTCACCACGTTGTTTGATAAATAGCAAATATGGCTTGATGCATCACTGAAAATACAGCATCTAACAATACAATCACGTTAAATTTCTTCATTACAGAAATCAAAGTCAGGGTGAAGGAAATATAGAAATAGCTACTAGGTTTATAGCTCTAGCGCCAGTAATGAATGTTAATAAGAAAAAATGGTTGTACGCGTTGAATTTAACTCCCGTCGATCGGACCAGACTGTCGGATTTAGTTATGAAAACGACAGACGAGACACCAAGCCCCTTTCCCAGGTCGATGCTGTCTGACCACCCGACATCACAGAAGCAGAGTCATATGCAATTCTTCTATGACATGGATTCGAAGGAAAGCGGAAAAATGTCGCGGCACCAGAACGACGGTTCCATTAAAAGGCCAAAGTTGGAATTTGATCAGTCGAAATGCTGGTTTTGCTTGTCCAGTCCAGTGGTATCCAAACATCTGGTTATTTCAGTCGGCACAGAGATTTACTTAGCGTTAGCTAAGGGTGGTCTGGTAGAAGACCATCTCTTGATTCTCCCGATAACGCATCATCAAAGTTTGTCGATTCTACCGAAGAATGTAAAGGATGAGATGGATCTATACAAAAAAGCAGTAACCAAGTACTACGAAAGCACGGATAGAGTGCCTGTATTCTTCGAGAGAAATTTCAAAACGTCTCATTGTCAATTACAAACAGTGCCCGTTCATAAAAATCAAGCACCCGCGCTGAAAGAGATGTTTGAGGTACTTTTTATATATTTTTTTTTTTACAAAACAGATATGTATATTAAGTATATCAATAAGTAATTCATTAATGTTTTTTTTTAACTCGAGATTCTGTTTGGACCTCGTTTGTAATCTGATTTTTTTTCTAGTTTTTACAATATTTCTGAAATCGAAATATTATTTATAGTGTTCTACTATTTTTCTAATATGCGTTTTTATTTTTATTTTTAGGAGTTAGCCGAATGTAATAATTTTAAAATATCGGAGTTACCGTCACATACGGATCTGCAGCAGATTGCAAAACCTGGAGTTTTGTATTTTTATGCAGAATTACCGAGCGGAGAAATATTATATTATAGAATTAAGAAAGACTTTCCGCTGCAATTTGGCAGAGAAGTATTAGCATCCGACAGGATATTGGATATTAATGATAGGTCCGACTGGAAGGATTGCCATATGAGTCAAGATGAAGAAATTGAAGTAGCAAAGAAAATTAGGAAACAATTTATCCCGTTTGATATAGATATTTGAAAACTTTTACTGCTGCTTTTTTATTAAGGCAATGTGTATATATTTCAACAAAAAATAATGATTGTAACCGTTATTTATTTTTATCTTGATCTTTATAATATAATCTCTGTTACAAGTGTATAAAATATGTACATAGTTTAGATATATACAACTTTATGGCACAAACAATAGACTTATCTGCAAAAATTAGCTTAGTATTAAAATGTTGCTGAGTTATTTGCTTGGTATTTTAATTCATAATCACTTGGAGTCAATAATGGGTTTAATCCACATTGTTTCATCTGAACTGCAATGTCCAACAAGTAGTCGTAACATTCAGTCCTACGAATACAAAATTAAAAAAAAGAAAATACTTTGCTGCAACACATAAAAATAATTAAAAATATTTGAATGAAAGCTTACATGGTTTTTGCCTGTTGCCAAGAGTCGCCCCATACATAAATTCCGTGTCTGCGGACCAATATTGCACAAGTTTCGGGATAACGAATAATGGTTTTATCTAAATCATCCCTTAAATCCTTTTCAAAAGGAGTGTTTTCTATGATAGGAATTACTAATTCCTCGTCGTAACGATATGCTCTATCCTCTTTTTGATTCCATATTCCTACATTGATAAAACAATTTATATTAAAGATTCAAATTTAATATTTTAACATTACCATATTTCTCATGTTAATATTTTGACGTTAATCTTTCATACAATTTTAAAAACAGGAAATTCTTATTAAAGTTCCATATATTAAATAAGGTATCAATATATTGTTCATATTTTTGTATTTATAATAATTGAAAGAATTTCTAATGCATGTACCTTTTATCATCTCCAGATGAGTGAGTTTAATTTCTTTTCCAGCCCACAATAGTGTTGCCATTACAGCAAATTTAGAATGTGTATGTATTACAGCACCTGCATTCCTCCTTAAATAAGCACACATGAACAGTGGGGTGCACTGTGATTTTTTCAATTTTTTCTCTGATGGTGGTAATTCTAGATCTGTTCCATTTATGTCTTGTACAAACATATCATTAGGTAATATACGCTCTTTTTGTACACCAGAAGGAGCTATATAGATCTTATCTCTGCAAAAAATGTTTAGTTATGTTTTCAGTAGTATTTTTACAAAAATAGTTTTCAATAAGATCATCTTTATCGCAGATACTAACTCATGTTTTATAGATATACCGCCACCTGTACCAGTCACCCATCCAAGATGATAGAACTGTCTGCATAATTCGGGTATAAGATTTCTTGGGTGTTCCTACACAAAAGATTAATGTTATTAAAACAATGTGATAAATATAACTTAAATTATATACATTTACAAATTTATAAGTATTATTCTGAATACTATTTACATACCTTATCATAATTAACATCGTAAACTTCTGACATTTTTGTTAACGAAATAAATGTTCTATCCAGTTATTTAATATTTTACAAGCACAGACAAGTTACTTTTGTTGATAACAGTAAATCTTCTTCTTATTTTACTTAGATTCAAGCTTATATCTATTGCCCTTTCATCAAGATAGCGAGGTACATATTCCAAAAAATCCCAAGTCCGAACGTGTTCGAACACGTCTCAACGTTATGACGGAACTTTATAACAGTAAATCTCTCTCTCTTTCTTTCTCGTTACAGGCCTTTATCAGGTGGCCTTTTCACCTATTATAAGATAAATATGTTTGTCGAGATATGTATGATTGTAAGCCTCGGACTCGATTTCGAAAGGTCCGACGTTAAAAAAAATTACAGATCCGAATGTGTTCGAATACAGCAATTAAGCTAGAACTGTGATAACAATAAATTGTTTGTATTATTTTACTTGGACTCAGACTTATCTCTATTGTCCTTTCATCGAAGGTACCGAAATACGAATTCCAAAAAAAATCAGATCCAAACGTGTTCGAACATGTCTTAACAGTAATGATAAGGGCCGTAGCACACAGAAAAACTTAAGCAGTAAGACGTAAGCAGATTCTTGGACCGTAAGAAGAATCAATGACTGTGATTGGTCAATTTGCCTACTGCTTACGTTTTACTGCTTAAGTTTTTCTATGTGCCACCAGCTTTACAGTCGTAACGATGTTATCGTCGTAACGATAATAGTAAATAAACACGTGTCAATCTGTTTAAAGCCCGTATCAGACTATCGACTACACAGGCCGACCCAACTGCCGACTCTCAATGGACCAATCGCAGTGAGGCGTCGACTCGGCGCCGTATTCTTGGACCGTAATGGCTCTCGCAGACCAGTGCGATGTGCGACGCGACACACGATATGCGACGAGCGATATCCAATGAGCGTATTGGTATTCCGGAAAAGCTGTACGCTCATTGGATATCGTGCATCGCGTGTCGCGTTGCGCTGGCTGCGAGAGCCATAAGAAGAATCAATAACTGTGATTAGTCAATTTGCTTACTGCCAAATTTGAGGAGAATAATCGACTGTGATTGGTCAATTTCTTAATGGCTCCTGCACACAGGACGCGATAATGCTTGCCGCGCGACAGCCAATCAATATGCTGCTTTCCGTAACAACCTTCTAGCTCGTACGGAAAAACAACATATTGATTGGCTGTTGCGCGAACTTCTGCCGCGCGGCAAGCATTACCGCGTCCTGTGTGCAGGAGCCATAAGGCTTAAAGCTTACTACACCTATGCTGCGTTCGGAAACACACACTGTGTGCACACTACTAGACGATAGCCGTTAGAGTGAGCGAAATACAAGAGTGAGATAAAAAGAGAGGGAGAGTACTCGAGTGACGTTTCCGAACGCAGTCCTAGGGTCTGTTTTCTGTTTCTGCACTGCTGAACTGATATAATAAGTTAGAGTGAGACAAATATATTTTTTCTCGCTCTAACTTATTGCACCAGTTCAACAGTGCAGGGACGAAAAACAAACCTCTATTGTGGCTCGGGACTAATACGTAAACTTATAGCATGTTCGACTGGCTCTGGGTTAACCCACTCTGGGTTATTTAGCTTACGTTTATTGGTCGAACAAGTACTTATAAGCTTTATGATTGGCTAGTAGAGACCCACCTATTATCTTTAACTTTTAGCTTGGATTGTATTATATTCTCCTCACTCTCAGTTATACTATGAACCAGACAAGGATAAGAGAGGAAACAAAAAACCTCTCTCTCATCTCTCAAGCCTCAAGAGGCAGCGCGCGTTCCAGGTAGTGTATATTTCAGTGACGACTCCTGAGACCCTCCTGAGACACCTTATTTTGAAGAGTTTTGGAATATGGTATATTCTTCGTTCACGAATATGGCTAGGTAGCAGAATTTTCTAGCAAAAATTCATAGCATCAACAGTACAATAGTCTTTTAGTCGTTTGTTGAGAAATGTAAATTATTATTATGAAAAAATATTATATGATAAAACATCACAAAGAACCAGTGTATAAATAACATAGAAAGATTAATATCGCCAGTTATAATGGCTGCTTGGATCAGTGTAACTTCAAAGTAAGTATATTTTAATATTATATCTATTGTCAATATGTACATATATGTATTATATATAGTAATCTATTCAAAATCAGTCATGATTATTTCTTTAATGATTACATTTCCTTGACAGATTAGAGCAAGGTTTAAAAATAGTGAGCCGTGTAGATAATAGTAAATTTCGACTTCTTGTCAACCGTATATGCCAGAGCCTGCAATCTAGCATTGATACAAAAGTCTTCAATGAAGAAGAGAAAGAAAAATTGCTGGTTTCTTTAGATCTGACAAAAGATGAGTTACTTCTTTTATTGGATACTGTAACATCGGTTTACACGCAAGCTGCATGTAATATCGTCAAACCATCTATCATGGAAACGGTTATGAGAGATAATTTGAAGATAGACGACGAGAAAATATCAATCTTTACAAATGCATGGATGACATATGGAAAAGGCATTGTAGAGAACCTGAGGCAAAAATCTATTTTTCCTACACAGGTATTCATAATATATTATTATACAGGTTAAAAAAAAAGTTCAAGACTTACAGGATAGATAATATTCATTATACTGAATAAGAAATATTTAGTAAACATTGGTCAAAAATTTACTCTCAGAGTTATAAATATTTTTATAGTTTTGGTAATACAAATTATTTATGTGCTTCCATTGATTACACATAGTAAATCAATGAATGAATTTTCAACATATATTTTCTAAATATATTTTATTCAATATAATAAATATATATACTATTTTTACTCTGTATAAGTCTTGAACTCCTTTTTTGAACATTCTATATAGCTATAGTTAAGACATATTTTGTTATAACTTAATTAGCATGGTTTATTTGTATTGGTGGTAAGATAAACAGGAGTTGACTGTATTATTCTTATTTTAAGGTAAAAGATATCAACTGGTGTCTGAATGTTCAATCATCATCCTCTACAATTTCTCAAGATGCACAAGCTGTAGCACTGCTTCAGCTAGGTCTCACTGGTGATAAAACATCTATGTTAACAGTGGAATTTGACAAGAAGCAACTGACGAGTCTCTATTACAATTTAGAAAAGATTCAAGCCCAATTGGATGCTCTTAAATAATAAAAGACATCTTTTGCACATACATTTATTATAAATAGATAATGATCAGTTGCATAAAAATAGATTCCTCACTCTTTGTATAAATTGTATGTAGATTTATTGCATCTTTACGTATTATCTTAGAAATAGAATTAATACTCTGGAAAACCATAAAAACACAGTATCCATATTATGTATATTATATACTAATTAAAAAAAATGTAATATATTACATTTATACAAAATTTATTTAAAAAATTCCTCTATTTTTAAAACAAGACATTAAAGAAAAAATGTGTCAAACAACAATTCTTTGATTTCAGGGAGGAAAGATTTAGGATTGCGAAAGTTACTTTATAAAAGTAACATTCGAAATAGTTACAGTTTTTCTTTTCTGCAAAAAGTAAAAACTCATCGTCACTTATCAATTTTAAAAAGTAATGACTAAAATTCGTTATAATCTTCATTATTTTTATTTTTATGATAAGACAAGATTAAATGTAAGGTGTATATACAGGGTCTGCCACTTAAATCCGGACATGAAAATTTTTTCTTGAAAAAGTTTATTACAGAAAATATGTAAAAGTACAAAAAGATTATTTTATAGTTAAGTTAAGGGATCTTTTTTGAGTTTTTCATTCAATGTAGCTGCCCTGCGCCTCGATCACCGCCTCGATCTTATTCCGAAAGCGCGAGCACGCTGTCTGCAATTGCGCCCGGTTAATTTTCGTGAATGCCGCTTCAATAGCGGCCTGGAGGGAGGCCACGTTAAGGTGTCTGGCTTTGTTAGTAACCCTCTCGACTACGCCCCAATCGTAGTACGCCTACGTAGTAGTCGAGAGAGTTCAAGTCGGGACTATTCGGAGGCCAGAAATCCTTCGATCAAAACATCTCGATATTGTCTGAGAGCCAGTTCTGCACTAAATGAATTTGTTCGGATTTAAATGGTGGACCCTATATACAGGGTGTCTCAAACCTCCATGATGACTCTTTGTGAGAACGTAGAATGAATTGAGATGAGCAAGAATGTCCTGCCGTTTTGCGGTATTCGCAATAATAATCGAGATATTAATTTAAAAAGTTTGATGAATGATCACACGCAATATGGTAGATGAGCTGCAGTGGCGCCGTGTGCCGTAGTATACTTATACATTAAGTCAAACTGAACAAAAAAGTCCTCTACCATTTTGCAAATGACAACATATATTTTTAAATATTAAAGAACATTGTTATATGATTGTATACCATAATGCACAAATTTTCTTTAATTAATAAATACAGAGGGTAGGAAATAAAGAACATATTTTTATAAAAATAACTAGGCGTTTAATCAAGCTATTTACAGACTCTTGTGCTAATAAATATAATTTCTAAAAATCTTGCGGACCGACACGTTACACTTCAACCTGGCTCGAAGGCTGATTTGCAACTCCCTTCCTTTTTTTCGTTTACTCGTTATTAAGGGCGACGAATTCAGCTGTCCACTACTCGCTGGAACTCGATCCCTCATTCTCATTATCGCGTGCGAAAAATGTGTCCAAAATATTTTATATTTTATCCAGATCTTTTCCAGTACACAAGATATGAAATATTTCAAAAACTCTCTTTTCAACAGTCTCATCTAAATATTTTTGTACGTAAAATGACAAATCTATCAGTAATCTTAATTTTTGTACACAGGTGCATCAATAAGTTTGCAAAGTGCAAACTGCAATTTTTACATGCTTTTTTCTCTTTTTACAAACAGTTTCATCTTATTCTATATACAAAAGTATTAAAATATTTATTTCGTTTTCTCTGATACAGGCATAATGTCTCATATCAGCAGAAATAACATTACAATCCAATATTTTCGTATATTTTGGACGTCCTGTGAGTTTTCTCTGCACGATTATAGGCGCGCGGGCTCCGATTCGGCAGAACGTTGTCGATACTCGACCCATGACTACTTTCTGCGGTCGAAAATTGAAAATTGATCTTCTCCGAACTCTCGGCGTATCTGTTGTCGTAGCATCTTGCGCCCCGTTTCCTCTCACCAGAAGGTAAGGTTTCCAGGATCTCCGGTGTCTTACGGATAAAGATACGCGCCTTGCATACTACCAGCACCACGACTATTATCATCAGGAACAGGATCATAGCTGTTAGAGCACCCACGATCCACCCTAGTTTTTCATCTGTACGATACAAGGGACGTTATGATTTTATAATTATCGTTGAATCGATAAACCAGATTTTCTAACGAAATATGTTTGGAGCAAACCTGCCAAAGTATTCAGCAGAACGAGCGTCGCGCTTCCTATCTCTATTTCGGCGTTCTCGTTAGCGAGAGTGAATCTGCAAGTCCATTGTCCTAGATCGGAATGATCCGGTTTGAAGACCAGTTTACATATACCAGTAGTGTAATCCATTTGCACGTTGTGCCTGTGTCGCGGTAGAAATAGCGAGAAGTGAATAAAAGGAACGCATATGACGGCAGATATATTGCGCGTTACCTCGTCCTTTTAGCGAGCTTGCTGGAATTTTGATGTATGTGAACTTTCGGAGCGTGTATCCAATGGCACTTGGCCTCTGACGATATGGACCCTACTCTACATGCGAGAGTGACCATCTGATGAGGCGCGGCCCATACCGCGACAGTGACCGGCTCTAAAAATGTCGACATCATCGATTTATTACCGTCAACTCGTTTATCAAAGGTAAAAATATTTTTTTTTACTATCCCACTCACCCGAAGCCGCTAGATCTTCAGTGCAGATTATCCGACGAGCGAACCATCTCGATTACCAACCACCATTCGCTTGTGCATCGATGACTTTTGTGATTTGATAGATGCTAAAACCGCATTAGAGCGTGCAGCCGATTTCGCGTGTGTTAATCGCATGTGTTAAGTTGTCTTTGAAAGGAAACACCGTAGGCGCAAGGTTTATTAAAAGTTCGCGTACTTTTTTTAATAAAAAAGAAATATATTATACTAATATCCTAAAAATGTAAAAAGACCAATTGATTGGTCTTTAAATATAACACAACATCGAAAACCTCGCTCAATCAAAACGCTCAATCGAACCACTCGAATCCTTTCATAATCTTTTGGAAAACCAGCGCTTGCGAAGTTTCGTTTCAAACATCTCGAATGAACTCTCGAGATGCGTATCGTGCATAGATTCCTTCGGTGACAGTCCATCACGGTTGACTCTTTCAAGCGGATAGAATTTCGAGTGCAGTTATCTATCAATCCTGAATGATTGAAATGATGAGGACGCTATGATGTTTTCGCACACTATTATTTATTTATGGATAGAAACAGCTTACAGCATCTCGAAGCGTCCTTCTGAAAACGCTCGAGAACCTCGCTGATACTTGGCGGGACTTAGCGATACTTAATGGCACATGAAGATTCATACGCTGCGCGAGTAAGTCGCTGCTCGAGTTCGATCACGTTCGAGAGCGTTGTCTCGATTCTTTATGAAACAGCCGCCTTGATCCAACAGTATAGATTAAATTCACGCTGCGTCAAATTGATAGGAAAGCGCGAAGAGTGAAGTATGAGGAAAGGAGCGTGTGAATTGAAGTATTATGTTGTGTGGTGTAAAAAAGTTTGTCATGTCCGTCAAATAATAAAATAATAATAAAATCATCTAATTTCGAAAGATTTACATGAATAAAATGAGCATCATTGATTCGATTTTTGTAGGCATCTAGCGAAGACTTACTATTTTTTCTTTTAATACTTAAACTTTCTACGGAAATTTAAGAGAAAAATGACAAACTTTTTGCACCAACCTAATATATTAAGCAATGACATCATTTCTGTATCGCAAAATCGCTGAAATGATGTAATAACTTTTGCTTGTTGTCAAGCAACGAGCTGAACGAACGTTACTCGTCGCGAACATGAATTTTCTGGACGCTAAATACCTTAACTCTAAAAATTGTCTACTTAGCATTAAACGTAGTAACGGCTATAGTCGTGAGTAATAATGAAGTATTCGTAACGGATATCGGTACCAAAATCCAACTAAACGCGAATAGATAATTTTAAAAAGATTAAATAAATAATACACATAAATAATACACGAGACATAGCGAAAGAGATACGGCGTTAAGTGTGCTAGAATTGATTCACTATTACTCGAGATTATTTAGATGAAAGGTTTATCTCTCTTTTGTTTCAGCAAATAAAACTGTCGAATCTCATTTATCGGTATGTTTATTGTTTGCTATTTGTTTAAAATGCACGTATTAAAACAATTGTCTCGCAATAATTGAACAGTTCCAAAAAAAGTCCACCTTCAGATTTACGTGAAATTCGCTAAAATAGTTCCAGATAATTTCAAATAAACATACCTAAAATGTTTTTTACCGCAATTAAGAGGAAACTGAGACAACATTAAAATAATAGTTAAATTATACTTAGTGTATATTTTTTTTCTTTTATGGTCTAACAACTCGCATGCGAATTATTGTGCCTTCATATTGGAACTTCAAAATCATGTAACATTCCACATCGATTTATTACTCTTCATGTCTTTCGAATGATAATCATAGCTTTTTAAATCCTTAGACAATCCTACTTATTTTAATTAGAAAGTTATTTGTCAATTCTATAGCTTTTCAATCTTTATTTCTCAACAACTTAAAAAACACAGTATCTTATATGAATAATATGATATAGGGGTTAGATTAAATTAGATTAGGTTGAGAATTAGGTTTTTCAGTCAAATCCCTCCCACAATAATATTATCATATTTGAACATTGTTTATGTTATGAAAATAAAATATGTTATATGTGAAAGATAGATGTTTACGTTCATATATATGAACCACAAGTAATTTATATAATTGCTATGAAGAATAAAAAACAAATATTTTAAGCTTAAATACGTATTATTTTAATGTTATCTCAGTTAAATTTCAAGTGCTGAAAAACCTTTCAGATATGTTCACTTAAAAATATTTTGAATCATTTCATGAGAATCGGAAGATGCACCTCCTCGGAATTATATCCATCAATTCTGTTAATGCAACAGCGACAGTGTCTTATTTCTGTGCAAAGTGACACGAAACATGCGATACTGCACAATTATTCAGTTGCGAATGACTTATTATAGAATTTTTTAAAACGATAAGCTGTCCGAATAAGAGAGAGAGCTCGATTTGCTCGACCTTAATTATTAATTATCATTATGATTACGAATTCAAAGATAACTTTGTCACGTTACGAAATATCGTTACGAAACTTTCGTCTGAAGTACTTCTCTATGTAAAGGGACGACGACTATTAAGGCTAGCGCGATAAATTCGCGCTCTGTCTATCTAGAGCGACTATTTGCTACGCTAAATGCAAAATTGTTCGAGCATAATCTCGCCATTAAGAACATAAATAAGATGGAGTGAATGACCTCATTAATGACGTATGTTTAACAGCATGGAATGTGTGGTTCAACGTGTTTACATTGTGTGAAGGTGCCTGTCAACTGAAAACAAATGTACAAAAATAAAAAAGAAATCTTATCTGACGCACAAACGAGACACGAAACTCGGCACTTCAATGTGAGACGAGTTAAAAAAAAACATGTAAAAATTAATATCTATACATGTTTGAAATATGATAAAAAAATTACGTGGTCTCAAGTTTGAGAGATCCAAAACAGATTTTAAGTGCTCGACTATTTCGAAGCGACTAACAGTTAAACTACACCTCTATACAAATTCTAGAAACTTATTGTACGCGACAACATTGTACCAGACAACATTGTAAGCGAAGATTTAAAAATGTACAAGTGAAAAATGTACAACCAAAAATGTACAAGTGAAAAAGAAGATAAAAAAATAAGAGACATCGTCTTCATATTCCGAAGTTACAGAGTTCTGTCAGTCGTCGTCAGTGAATTCGCCGAGTTTCGTAAAGGAGACTCTTGATCGATGCTAAAGAACAAAGTTCCTTCGCACACGATGGCACGCGTACGCGAGATCCTTGTGGCGCGAGGTCTTTCTCACGCATTTTATGCGATGAAACGATCGGTGATTTCGATGAGGCGCGTAGCGTGACAAAATGATCGTCCATTTCGGACGGATCGGATCTGAATGGATTAGACTCTCCGTGCAGATCCATGTAATCGTAAAAAGCAAATCTTGATAGAACATTACCGATGGTTCACATTCGTCCCGCGATACCTGGAGAGAATCAAAATCTCCAGGAACCGCGACAACGCGACCCGATGTGCTTCCCGTGTGCTCCACCCTTCACCGTGGCGGAGAAGCGGCGCTAGATCGTCTTAGGCCGACGATCGAGCTACTCGACGATACCTGGCTCGAGGAGGCTTAGTTTCGCAGGCGGCGCATCCGTGTAGTTCTGCCGACCGCGTATCCTGGCGCCGCAGGTCCAGAGCCCTTCCTGTTCAGCGAGAGCGTGGCTGAGACGGACGCTGCAGTCTCGCGCCTCGTTTCCAGCCGCTGGGAACTGCTTCACCACCACCGTGGTGTTGGAGTTCACCGGGGTGAGAGACCAACGGCACTGCTCCACCGCCGAGGAGGTTACGCAACGCAGCAGGACGCTGCCGCCGGACGAAATCTGGATGTCTTGCGACAACTCTGAGAACTTGACTTCGTCTGAAAAAACATGTTATTACTATTTCATTAAGTACATAGAAAAAATTTCCTTTTTACAAAAAAGGATAAAAAAAAGGATAACACTCTTCCACTTATAGAGACAATAAAACAAAAGCAAATTATATAAAGAATATAAAACAATAGGATCGTAATTCCCATATTAATAGTCGTTACTTAAAACTTGTCCCAGTAAAGTTGGATAAATTAATATATATATTTTTTAAGTAAGCTAAGTTCAATATTAGTAGTTTATAAAATTAACTTAGTTAAATTAAAAGTTAATGAACCAATCTAATTAAAAGTTAAAATTGAATTAACGTATTGAAGTTGATTGTGCAAAGCAATATACATGTATTTGCATAATTAACTTTTTAATTTAGGTTAAATTTATGTAAAATAACAAAAAAATAGTCTTTCATAAAGAAATACCGACTGTACTCAGGATTCCATATAAGAAAAGAGCATTGGCGCTCAGAGAAATGAAAAAAATTGTGCTGACATTCTTTTTGATTATTCTATATTGTAAGCAAACTGCAATAATTTTAATATTAATGAATTATTTTAACTTATATAAAAATTAATTTAAATTATATCGGAATTCGACTATTCTTTGTATTCATCTTTAGCTTAAAAGCAAGTTACATTGCAAAAAGATGAATTAATTACGATCCATCCATTTCTCTCTCTCTCTCTCTCTCTCTCTCTCTCTCTCTCTCTCTCTCTCTCTCTCGTGGAGACATTAGATCATCGAATGATGGAGCACGATGGATAAGTGTCATTAGACAGACTCGCTCACCTTGCTCGAAAACAGTGAGTTTGACAGGTGGCGATGTCAGGACAGTGTTGAGCGAAGCGATCGATACTTGACAGCCCCAATGACCTTGCTTTTCCGTATACACATGCGGAAGATGCAGCGAGCAGTCGCGACCAAGGTCGCCGTTACTTGGGAATTCTTCAACGACGATCTCAGGATCGCTGCTGTGGAGTGGTCTCCAGGTCCAGGTGCATTTTTCCACGCGACTACTAGTGATGCATTTCAGCGTAGCTTCTGTGCCTACCAGCACCGCCGTGTCCGTTGGCACTTGGACGAAACTCACTTTAGCTGGAATTAATCGACGTGATAACGACACTGCGATAACAGAGTGACAAGACGCGAAGTGAGCACGTACGCGCTACGACATCTCTTTTCTGTTCTCTTTGTTAGAGCACGTAGAAAGTATGAGTCGCGCGCGTCCAGGCTCGGAGAAATTCTTAACGATAAATATGTTGTACTTATTATCGCAATATTTCATCATAAGAATGTGTGTATCTAATTTTCTTACATTTTTAAATAAACGATAAATTAACTGAATCGATTGTATTGTGCTTATAAGACACGTTGAAATATCATTTCTTTTAAGAAAATATATCAGATAGTCTAGCGATGCGTTATAAAAATTCATGCGCTTCAACGCTACGAACTTTTTTTACTTAACACTTTACACTGTTTTATCCAATATTTATTTTTGAATGAAAGCAACAATGTCGTCGCGTACCAGTGGGCAAAAGGCTGACAGTGGCCGCAGGAGCCGTGTGCAGGATTCCATCGGGCGTCAAACGAACTCCACAAGTCCATAATCCTTCCTCCTCGTATAGTATATTCTTGAATCGCACAGAACAATCGTGCTCGGCGTCCTTGTTCGGCCCGAACTTCTTTATCAATAACGGTTCTTTACTTGAATTTGACGCCCTCCACGACCATTCGCACTGTACCACCGGCTTGTTCGCCAGGCACCTCAGAAAGACCGACTCGCCGGCAGCAACCTGCACGCCGCGTGACAGCTGTACGAACTCGACTGTAAGAGGAAAACGAAGATTTTAGGTAGTTTTTCCAACCTATTGTTGTGCGGAGCACTGAGTGAACGAATTCGATAATGAAATTCGAAAGTATTCCCTTATAGAAATATACTAAAAATCATTGATAATTACTTATTATCCAGTATTTTTAATACTGAAAATAAGTAATTATCAATGATTCTTAGTATGATATTTCTATAAGGGTTCCATAATGAAATTAAGATATTTTTCGATAACGAACGGAAATGTATGATGTAAAAGAAATTTAAGTATTGATTTCTTACGCTCGCGCAACGACAACAATTTGTGCGTCGCAGACAACACAAATTTCTAAAAGATGTCTTAAGAGTATGTTGGGTACCGACATAATGCAATTTCGTATTTCGCACTGTTTTCAGCTGCATTATGTCGGTGTTCAGCATCTCCTTAAGATAGCTGCTATATGGTTCTCTAATTTCGTAACGACACTGTCGTTCAAAGTTACAAAATAGACCTGCCACCAAGTACCTTATTTTCAATAGCGTATCAAGGGGATCTCTTATAAATTTACTATTATCAAACAAAACTTGTATAAATTTATTTCATCATCCAAGTATCACTGTTAATTTAAAACAAAATTAAGATAAATAAAAAAAATATATGTAAAAATAATATCTGCATATTAAATAAATAAAATTCAAGTCAAATTCAGGTTCCTTAATATTATAGTAGTTTTTTTTTTATCAAAATCTCACGTAATTTAGAAGATATTACAAGCAGAAATTAAAAATAGCACACTAACCTTGAGGAACACATATAAAGTCTCAATTTTAGTTTCAAATATCTCGAATAATCAATCGTTTTCTAATTGCCTTTCATCCAATGCTGAAGAAACTCGTTTTATAATACAACTACCTCAAAGACATTTAAAAGACGACCTACTTTTTTCAGACCTTCTTTAGACGTCTCTAAGACGTTATTTAGAAATTTGTGCTTTGTCTAGAATATGTCTTAAATTTATATTATCGTTATCATAAATATGTATGCGAGTAACACGAGTTTGAATCGGTGTTTGAAAATATATGAAGACACGAAAAAGTTGTGAAGGAAGAAGCAATACCTTCCGATATGAGGAATCGAACGGGAATTGATTGGGTGAAGGAGGAATTCGGGTCGATTCGCGCTCCGCAAGTCCAGTAGCCTTCTTGCTCAGGCAAGACGTTTTTGAACTTGATACTGCATTCCGTGCTATCGTTACCGAAGGCTGGAAACGATTTCACGTCGAGGTTCCAGGGCTGCGACTGGTTCAGTTGTCGCCAAGACCACTGACATTCCCGAACCGGTGACTTCGTCTGGCACATTATCTGCGCCGAGGATCCTGCCGGCACCTCGATGATATTTTCATGCTTCACGAACGTGATGAGGATGCCTGGAACATGCAAACGCACTAGTCGCGCTCTCTCATATTTCTTATACAACACTTTCGTCGTTTATTACTTTGGATGATTACATGTATGTATAACAGCATACAGGGATATTGGTAAAGCGTCGAATACTGCGTCGATAATAATTAATCTTTAGGTAAATACATATCGGGACACTCGCCGATATGACGAATGATAAGTGACGACGGGAAGTTTTTGATGCGGAAAATATTGTAACAGGTAGGTATGAGTAACGTGAATAAACACAACGATGTCAGGCTTGTTTTGTCACCAAGAATTCGAGGCCGTCCGAAAGCAACTGCGTAAATACATTCGCTATTCCTCAATGAATACGAAAAAATATAAAGATCAACGAAAAGATAAAAAGCGATAACGTGATGTTTTATGGAATCTTTTGACTGCTTGTCAAATCGGGAGAAAGCCTCGATACATTGAGAAAAAGAATATTTGAAAATTTATTTATGGGATATAACGTTTATTTTTGTGAAATAAACTTTTGTTTCACAAATAAATTTTCAAGTACCTTTTTCGCGTACGCACATCGTGTGTGCGTATCGATAGAAATTTTTTCGATATAAATTATTGATTACATGAAAAAAGAGCGAGATTGGAAACTTAGCTAAAATATAATCGAGTTTAATTAATCCAAGCCCTCGAGCGGTCATCACAGTAAGCAAAGGGTTTGAAAATGAAATGTGCCCTACCGTGATTAGCATTGACAATGCCGAGCTTGGCTGGTTCTGTGCTGGTGAAAGGATCTTTCGTGGAGACTCTCGCCGCGCAGGTCCAGTATCCCGTTTGCTCGTGCTTGGTGCTAGAGAATCTCACGGAACAATCGTTGCTGTTATTCCCGAATGCTGGAAACTGTCGTACTGGCAACGGATGAGTCGTGGGAGTCGCCGTAGTTGAGATCGACGAGATCTCCGTGGCTGAAATCACCGATAGATCCGAGCAAACGATAAATATTCAATGCGTAGTTACAGAAATTACGGACGATCAATGCCCTCGATATCCGGCATGAAAAAATAAGCGGATCGTCTATAAGAATAACTGTTGCGCAAGCGAGATATACTGGCGTTTTGAAAATTACTGCAATATAATTTGCTACAATCTTTTATTGTCGTAGATTAAACGAGAGGACGAATGTATCTTTTCCATTAGATTGGTGTTCAAGATTTTTCTATCAAATTCTCGTAGGAAGTTTCAGTATTAAAAGAAAAATAAGTTTAGATATGAAAATTTATACGAAAAGACATGTATGATGTTGTCTATTATATTTGTAGAATCGTCCAATCGACTGAAATTTGTGGAGGATCCCTTAAATTGCGGCGGGAATAATGCGCGATCGTACTTACTCGTAGAAACCGGTGGGCTTTCACTAACGTCCGGAAGCGGCAAGTGAACCGGTGGCAATGGCTGCCAGGACCATTGGCACTCGGCCACAGGATTAGCAGTCCGGCATGCCAACAGAACAGACGAGCCGAGTTCCGTTTCCGTGTGCTCCGGGACGTCGATGAATACCACAGAGGTCGGCGGCGGCTTCGTCCCTGGCATTACATCGTCCATGGAATGGCCCTTCGTTTCAGGAACGGTGGTCTCTTCCGCGACATTTGCGGCATTGTCATTTGCGATCGTGCTCTTGTCAACGGGACTCTCATCAGACACGGGGAGACCTATGTATGAGATAAACGATAGTGTAATCGTCAATAATTCAACTGACTAACGACATCTTCGCTTGTTATTCCGGGATTTACAAGTGTACTCGTTCATGAAGAAGACTTTGTCTTTAGCAAGTAATCGACAAATAATTTAGCTAAAGATAAGACTGATAGTGCAGTTAAAGGAGGAAATGGAGGTAGAGGAAAGAGAACAAACTACTATTCTTGTGAAGTGAGGAAATGTAATCGACAAGCTGGATGTATAAACTGGATAAAGACAACTTTTCTCGTGGACCGCGAAAAGTTGAGAGCGCGGGCGGAAAGCCGATGTCACAACGAGGCGAAGACGCGACGCGAACGCCCGACGCGAAGGAGAACTTGAGCGAACGGATATGTGGGACACGATGGGCAGGAAGCTACGGCCGTCACGTAGACAATCACTTTGCGTGGCGCGTCTGTCACTGCGTGCGGATAGAATCAGGGTCGGATCGATAGATCGGCTCGGTAAGAATCGTCAGAGTCTTCAAAAGTAACCGGCAGTGTTCTATGTGTTTCCGCATATGTGTGCGGAAACGATAAAATCTTATGTAACCATGCGCGAATTACAAATGTACAGCACAGCACTAAAGCGTGTCTAAAATGTACAGATTATTTCGTTTCTTATAAGGAGTAGGTAAGTAAATTTGCAATCTTTTCAATTTATCGGATGAAGAATATATGTAGCATTCGAAGAATGTAAGTTCAGAACTCTTTTATACATGACCTCAAGAGAATTCGCCTAAAATCAAAAGGAAAGTATTGTCCCTTTTTATTAATTCTTTACTGTGTCTTTGAAGATACAATTCAGTTTTATCATTATTCTCCAATATGAATGTTGTTCCTATTTTGACCGACGTGAAAATCACAATATGGCTGTTTTTTTTTAGTATGTTTTCAACGATAGTAACTGACTCAGAGTTACAAATCTGTTTTGGAAAAATAAAATATTAGAAAAGTAAAATTTCACCATATATGTGTGCTGAGTATTTTATTTTTAAACATCCTATGAACATGAAAAATATTTTAAATATGAGAAATTAATTTGGATAATAAGGGGTTAAAAGAGAAATACTATTTCGGTAAAAGTTTTCACTTAGAAAATATTGAATTATATATATGATACAATATTCCATATAATATAGGAATACAGGAAATAGCAACTAGAGTTCTTTGAGTGCACTAAGAAAAATTAAATAGATATTAACAAACGAATATTTCCGATCAATTTTTTATATCCAATCGGGGTATCCGATTAAATTTAATCGGATACTTCCGATCATAATGGCATTTCATCAGATAAACCAATTAAAAAATTATGAATCAATATTTCTCATCGGATGTTTTCTGATCGGATACAAAAATTCATCGGTATTTTGATCAGAAATATCTGTTTGTTAATTCTTTATCGGATAATTTCTCTCAGTGTACTGGGATATTTTTCTTCTGATAGAAGAATCTATCAATATAAGAGGACTCCGTTAAGGACGAGTCCCACCGTGGTGCGAAATTTATTTTTCGGGTACATAGTAAAGTTTAAATTATGAACTAAGACGCTCTTATTGCTCTAAAGTAATAAGACGTTCTAAGTGGCGTTTATGTTGTCTAGTAAACTAAAAAAATACATCCTTAATAACGAACGATATAGCGATGAAAGGTTTCTACAAAAAACAATTAGAAAATTATACGTGCTGATGGCTGAAGCGTCGGAGAAAAAGCGTCCCTGCGATTGTACATTTTTACTTTCTACATGACGGATATATAGTATGCGCACGATTACACGTCCGAAGTTGGGTCCTTGGTATTGTCGCGTAACGTTCGCCAGCTATGTGTCGAGCTAACGCCGTCGTCGAGACGAGCGGAGTGGTCGCTGACACTGGAAGGTCGTTTCCACTTTACATTGACACACTGATCGACGTACGGTTTTATGGCGTTACGTGCCGATCGAGCCGATTAGACCACGATCACGCGGATATGGGAATCCCCGCGCGGAGACTTCTCTCCGTCGTCAGGCGCATCGCGATTTCGATCGAGAATATTGCTCTAATTAACAGATAATTAGAAAACGAAGATTACCAGTAGGATGTCGCGCCGGCTTCTAACTTTCCCGCTCACTTAGTGGAACGCGATCGATCCACGACAGGGAACCGGCCAGGAATTTTCGGGTAGAGGAGGCGCGCACATTCCATCGAGTTACGGCTGACTTTCGTACACTTTCTTTAGCAGATATGCGGCAGGAAGATCGGATTTTAACGTTCTACGGCAGGTTGTCGGCAGACTCAATTAAAGGCCTGATATTCGATCGAATCTTCGCTCGATCAAGACGCGTCCCGAATTCGCTTTTCGGCAGGGCGGAACGAGAGGAAGCCGTGACTAATAGCGCAACGATGGAATTTCATCCCAAGACCACCATTGGTGAGACTGGACGCGTAGTCAGGCGGAATCGATCGCTCGATCGAGTAAGAGAGAAAGACAGAGAGAGAGAGAGAGAGAGAAAGAAAATCAGAGGTAATGAATCTCTTTCAATAATTAAGAACACGAATGACGGGGTCGTTAACCCGCGAATAGAGAGTCCGACGTTCGATTCGTCTCATTTGATCGATTTGTCCCGGCTTTTCTCGCGAGACGCGATGCAGTCACGCTGGAGGTGTAATCTTAACGGAAAGAATGTTAAATAACGCTAAATAACGCACGTGTTATAACGCGAGAAATTAATAGGAGGAAAGGCCAGAGATATTTCGCGATAAGACTGACTCGCTTGAAATGCCGGGTATAAATGAATCATCGACGAAGATTGAGACGATGTTCGTTCACGAGCTCGAGAATCGCCAGTCTCTATGAATAATACTTATTTTGAATAAGGAGACGCGTTAAAAATTTTATCGTGAGATTTTTCCGCGGATGTAATTCTCCTAACATCACCGATTCAATTATTTCCGCGATACGGAAGATCGTTAAAGCGAACGCAATGAGTCAGAAATGTATGTGTTTTAAGCAGTTACTAATGCTATGTGAATTATCTTACGGTATTGTTTAATTACGGTTTATGTCCAACCAGTGCTAATTATGAAGACCGGTTGTTATGTCCAACCAGTGCTAATTATGAAGATTGTTAATTGTTACGAATAATTTAGACGTAGCTAACGTACACATGTCCTTGTAATAATTAGAAGTTGAATACGTTAAAAGTCATATCACTCAAACGTTATTGATAAGTCGTTATTATTGCCTCACAGCTTGCATGGGATTGCTTTATACAAAGAGAAAATTTTTTAGTAAAAATTATTACAGAATTTTCTAATCGAGAAATAAATCGACATTGTACCGTGTATAACATATCCCGTATGAAATCTCTGTATAAAATAATGATCAATTTGAAAAACAAGAATAATGCATAATTGTCTAAGATAAAAAAGAAATTCTGAAACAAGAAGAAATTTGTAAAGTTTTTGGAATGATAATATTCATATCGCCAAATCGCCACGACTAAAATTTTACAGTAAACCGTAGAATTTTGTAACCGTAAAATAGATTGACATTTCATAGTAACTAACTATTCTTTCATTTTAGATGTGCTATTTATATTCTAGGAACTAAAACATTTGTTTCTAATGAAATTTACTATGTCTCATAGCAAGATAAATGTTACTGACACTCTACATATATCAAAATTGAAAAGAATTTATATGAAAAATAAAAAAGAAATTATAATATTCGTATATCTTTGAGATACCCGTTACAATGAGAAAAAATACTTGACAATTTATTTTATAAAGGGGATATAAAGTTTATTTTTCTGTGAATAAACTTTATATCTCGCAAAGAAATTTTCAACTACCATTTTTCATTTTCAGGAAAGTACAAACGATCCAGACTCACTGGAAGATCATTCAAATTCCTCCAAAAATCTAATTGTACTGCGATGTCTCATTCTACAAGTACGCTTCCGTTTTAGTTTCCTTTATGTGCGATCAATCTCGGAAATGTGTGTATACGTACAATTGATCATAGCCCTTCGATTTCCTGTCGATGGATCGATGGGTCGACTCGTTGCGAATATCAATCGAGCGCACCGTTACGACCGACGCAAAGGTTCATCGTCGTCACGTTTGTTTCCGCTCGTGAAATTATTTTTATACGTTTCCTCCGCAATTTCTCTTGCTTAGTATCATAATTGGCATAATCTAATTCAACTTTAATACTCTTTCTTCGCCTTCTCTCTCTCTCTCTCTCTCTCTCTCTCTCTCTCTCTCTCTCTCTCTCGCTCTCTTCTTCTGACATCGATACTACTATTACCTTCATTACACGACGCCGTATTCGTCAGATCCCAACATAATAATTAGCAGGTTTACTTCTTTTTCTCTCTCTCTCTTTCTGCTCTTCTCTGTCTTTTTTCACGCCCGGCTGACTCCGTGCCGAGGTATGCGCACGTCCGTTTTTTATATTTGCACGACGGCGACGCCTTGAAACCTGAGAATTCCGTAAACGGCGAGGCGTATGTCTGATGCGAGAGCTGCGGATCGTGTCAAGGATATGCAAGTATGTGCATCCTTCATCCGCAGGACTCGACTCGTTATTTCATGTTAATCACCGACGTGCGCGCGCAACCATTTTCGTGGATATTGTTACCGAAATACTTCTACGATTTCGCCGATCCGTTGAACTTGTTTCTCACCTCGCCGTCTGCGATTATCCAACTTGTATCGTCTGCAAATACGACAACTTGCAATCGCGCGGGGGAAGTTACCGTTCCAGCCGAGCGAAGATGAACGTAACGTCCTCAGCGAGAGATTTATGCGAGCGCCATTAGACGCAACGAATGGAAGCGAAGAATGTGTGTAACAATAAAACATATCAAGAAGATTAATTCTGTTTATTCGGTCGCGCTGCGGATTGACAGAAAAGTGTCATTCTACTGCTAAGAAAAGCGATCGTTCAGACTTTACTTTCTGTCTTTTAAGTAATAATTATCTCGGACA